ATGAATGAACCATTTTCTTATAGAACTAACGAATAATTTTTTTTTCGAAAAAAGTAAAGTTCTATTCCCCTAGAGCCCTTCATTATTGTTCAGTGAGATTTTAGAAATAGAAAGTGATGATAATAGTAACTGAAAGAGTTACATACTGTTGTTTTTATTATAGACTGCAACTAATGTATCACTATAGAATTCATGTGAGACAATTTTGAAGATGAACAAAGTTCCCATGCATATATTCATACTTTTAATATTGTTATTCTACTGGAGGTGATGGCCAAAACTAGGTCACTTCTTAGAAAGTTTTAATTGCATGCTACGAAGTTAATTTACCTGCCAAGCCGTAGGCAGGACTTTTTCCCTGCTCTAGTTGAAGAGGCCACTATGAATTGTGGTTCTCGCAATATATAACTGGAATTAATTCAAATATGCAGGGTGTGAAATTTTTGAAATTGATTTCGTGTTGATGAATTTTTCTTCAATTTTTGTTGTATATATCTATCTGTAGATTAGGAAGGGTGAGTGAAAGCCCACAGCATGTGACCCATTGGACATCCTCCCGAGGAGTTGTCCTTCTAGGTCATCGTCCATCCTGTCCTTTCCAGAAAGGTCATACGTCACTAGGAGACATCTCCTTTATATCGCCGAACACACACTATCTTATTGACGATAACTCCGGGCGAGTGCCCTATGCGAGTGCATAGGACATGCCAGTGTTTCCTTAATTGACAGTGGCCAGTCAGAAATCCTACTGTTGAGCGTAGATTTTTCCTGGTCATTGCCAGATATTTCTTCGGCGCCAGCTTCCCAGGGTCGCCCAGAGTATCCTGGCAAGACTGCATCCTTTTATTCCATACCATCTTTTTAGGGATTGAGCATGGGTGTAACCCATGCCCGAAATTGTCGAAGTCATCAGGCCGTAGGTGCCACTGGGTCCTAAAATTCTTAGTCCAGACGCTTCCTTGGCTAAAGAGTCGGCAATGCGATTATCTTTACTCCTGTCGTGCCCTTTAACCTACTTGTCTACACTTCTAACCATTTGTTTCCACTTCTTTAAGAAGGTTTGGAACATTAATTATTTTACGTTACTCTAAGTTTTTTATGAAAATCACTTTCGAGAATTATGTTTTCAGTGAGTTCATTATCCTTAACGATGGTTCATAAATACTTCTAGACAGTTTCGTGATATATCAATTGATAACATGAATTAATTGCCCAAATATGATATTAATTCATCCATCAACATGATATCACAGGCTGTTATTGGGTAACCTCCCATTGATACTTTAAATTTAGAGAGGCGTAAAAACGGTACATTTTGGATCATGTTAAATTTTAGTTTATCCTTCAGAGAAGAAAATGTGGAATTTGTTAATAAGTCACTTCAATGAAGTAGACAAACATTGCAAAATACATTAATAATCTCTGTAAAATCTTTTAAACTAAATATATATTTTCATGGAAGGACACTAATTTCTAATACAACTAAAACAAATCATAATAACATAATAAGTGAACAACTTACTTCTGATAAAGATAGTTTATAAAAACCAGTAAATGAAAATGAAAAATTAATCTGGTTCGGAAATTTGCAATTCGAATTAATCGGCCAACTTCACATTTTTCTTTTTTCATTCATCAAAACTAATTTTTCTTCACATCATTCTGAATCCAATGAGATAACGCTCGTTAATATGTATTCAACACGAATTTCAATTTGTAAACTAGACTAGATGTAGAAATGTCATGACTTTTTGTTTTTACAAGTTCCAAACACATTTGGGTTCTCACACCTTTTTTCTTTTGACTTTCTTAGTGTCAGAGTTCTATTTTGATATCGTCCTTTTTTTCGAACCCTAAAACTCCATATTATCAATTTTAATCATATAGCGATTGTTTTCTATGAATACTTACGATCAAGGCTCATTTGAATCATTTTGACCTTAACCTCTTTCATAGGTTGGATAGAAACAGCAAGTAAATCTGATAATGAAAGTGAGTTGGGTTAAAAATCTTTTCAATCAAATAGACGGCTGTATAGTTCAGCAGTAATTAAATTGACGTGAATCATAATTAAGGTTATACGCTGTTGTCATGTCAGTACAAGATTTCCACGTGATTAAGATTCAGTTTTTATTTATAAGTAACACAAAATTCATGTCGCCTAGACGTTCTATAAATATTATCATAAAAGTGTAGAAGCTATTTTACGGTTTTTTGCCCGTGGTCTGCGAGTTCTTATATCTGACGTTTCGTTGATTACTGCGGTAGACATTTATCAAAGGCGATAGGTTAACGGCCACAGTACCCGAGTTGGTGCTCCCGTTGTTCCGAACGTATTTACTACGATGCTCGTATTTGACTCTGAATAATTAAGGACAGGTAGCCAAATTTTATTAATGTTCATTGCCGCTTCGAGAAATCGTTTTCTGTCACTCTCTGCAGCCCTTTCACTACAGGCAAGAAACTAGTTGTTACCTAAATTCAAAAGCATTGCATCCATGATCTTACAGAAAAGGGATAGGAGCTGTTTCGATATGTCACACATCTCATCAGTGGTACTAGGCCGGGTCATGAATGCAATGTTTGAAGTCTTCTGCCTGCAACACAAACGATCCTGAGTAAAAACAGGGGAAGACGATATCCTTGTCTGTCCTATGTTGGAAGATTTGAAATCTAAGAGAAGATAAGTGAATGAAATATTGATATTACTAGGACGAAAATATTGGTTAAACGAGTTATAAAAGGTTTAAGTAAAAGGTCAATAATGTACAAAAAATCATATCTTATCTTTTCACTATAATCACCAGAAGATATCGATACGTCGTGATGTAATTTTGTTTGTATTCTCTTTCTTTTTTTCACTATAGTTTCTCTTTGTTTTTTGCGAGTTATTGAAATAAATAATAAAATGACATCGATGACATCTATGGAAAAATTCACAATATTCTCAAATCCCCTTAATTCAACAACCTGACTGACGATCACCATAAGCAGGCAACTAGATGAAAATAACTATCAAGACTAAATAGAGGGAAAGTAGGAATTGTAGTATCTAGTTTATATTTTTTTTGTTTTTTTTTTGTCTGAATTTTGGATATATCCCGGGTCAAGTACTGAAGTAGGTAATGCGAGAGGGATTTCCGGTACTTGGCACCGAGTAATAGGGGTTTTAGTCAGTAAGAATCCGGCACAGCGTCTATGAAGATTTCCTCTCCTCAAAAAACAGATGATGCTAACCCAAAAACTAAGCATTCGTTTATCAGGAAGGGCTGTTTTGTATTCAAGAAACACTGTATTGTGAGATTTGCACTGGACTGTTTACAAAACCACAACACGTGTTTCACTATATAATAGTTATTGTATAGTAAAACACGTGTTGCGGTTTTGTAAACTGTCCAGTGAAAATTCCACTATAAAGTTTTACTTCATATGAACACGCCTGAGGAAGCTATTGAATAGTGAAACAGGTGTTGCGATTTTGTAAACAGTAAAAATCTAACAATGAATCGTTACTTGAATACTTTAAGGATTTTCATCAAGTATCGAGATAGATCTCAAAATGAAACCATGTGTCTAAGAAAAGAAACACTTTCCAGATATTTGGAATCGTGCCAGTTTGGACAATTTCTTGGAAGTAGGACATAAACAGAAATGAGTGGAAAATTCGTGAGCCACAAAGTCGAATGTCTGTCTGAAAATAGATGTTTACTAGTCCTGGATATAATTGCGATTGATCAGAAAAACAATGAAACGTTAATCATCACGTTTATTTATTCAGCAAAAAGCTATTAAACACAGTAGTTTAATCAAAAACAGGATAACAAAATGTTAACAGTTATCCTTGTTTTTTTAATGAAGCATTGGGAAAAATAATGTTTCAAGTGGGTGGTAAATTTTTCATGAACTGAAATCTGTGTAAGAGCAGTAATGAATCAAAGCAAATCAAATCAGAGACGATTTTGAAAGTAAATATAATAAAAATTACTGCTGATTTTGAAAATATTTGTATATTGATCGGCAAAAAGTTGAAACATACTTATTTTCACTCTTTTCACTGAACTTCTTCAATCATCTAACTGCTAATTTATTAGTATCTTGTTCTTACTGCCATGAGTATCAAACTGGTTAGGAATATTATCATACCCCTTTTTGTTTCTTCATAATCTGATGATAATTTACTGGATACTCACAAAATTCATGACTTATCAACAATCGCTAATGAGGAGTGGCCAAAAAATGAGTCTTTGACACATAATTTTTCTCAAAAATTCATTTTATTGAATGCCAAAATGCTAATTCGGTACATCTCTGAAAATACTTCACACATCTCCAATAAACAAACAGTTCTAAACTTTTCAGTTGAACCTACGATTTATTTAATGACTCACCCTGTGTGTTACAATCGTAGACTAAAAAACAACAGGTAATTTGATATTAGTATATTTCTGGATCCCACTTGAGGATAATATTGTTTATTTTATGTTCTAAATTTATCATCCACACTAGTATAGTTTGACAAACCAATTTTATTTCAAACTGAAGGATCTACCATAAAATGAAATTATTTTCGAGCAATTTTTATGGGTTATTTGTTGTGGATAATCACTAAGTCAGCACTTCGAAACAGTCGTGTTTATTTACTCTCAAGAATGCCGGTTGAATATGATACAGTAAATGATAAGATATATCACGGTTATATTATATAACCAACCGGCTCACTGGAATATTATATCTGTATTCAAAATATATGCAGCGGATTGTGCTGTAAATTTGGTTCAGAATCGATTATTAAAAAAAAACAGTAACGATGTCATGCCGATATTTGGCAGCACTGCGAAAAACCGGCATGCCTCCTTCATGACTTCAATCGAAGAGAAAACACTTACCCAGATTTAGCAGTTTGAGTCGAAGTGATCGAATGTATTCTGATTTTGTTGGCAATATCTTTGAGTTCTTGCACCACTTTGGCTTCCGGTTTGTGATAGTTCGACATGATTTCGGCAAATTTTTGATCGTCGGTGTGAAATGCCGGGGGAACCTTGCCTCGCCCGTTTCAAACTGGCAATACTGGAGGCGCGGGGATCAACAAGTTGCTCTTGCCGGCTTTCCGCTGACGTAGGGGAATTTATAAGTGGACATAGTCGTAGCAGAGGTTTGGGTTAGAGTTCCACGGCGCCAGGATTGCCACATCTGAGCCTGCTTTAATAGTACTCCATTGCTAAGTTCTTCTGTCGAGTTTTTTCACTTGTAGGTATTTAGGATTTCAAATCCAGTTTTGATCGGTACTCCTTCGTTTTTTGTACTTAATCTAGAATCTCTTACCTAATTGTTCGATTGGTGTCAAAAAACAATGTGGGTTATTTTGTCGCTGCTTGAAAGCCGTCTTACTTGTTCATTCTTTCTCCAAGTTTCCTGAAAATATTACAGATTCATGACATCCTTTCCGATAATTGTGTTTCGGGTGGTACTTATAAGTCTATATTCCAAATATTTATAAGTCTAAATTTCTAAAAAGCAGCTGAAAGTACTTTCTGTCTATATTATCATACGGGTTAATGACGGGTACATTTGAAGGTGATTCAAGCAAATGAAAAAGTATATTCCAAGGCTGTGAAGGTTCATCAGGCAGTACAAAAATTTTAGCAAATTGATCCCAAGTGGTTCAACTGACTACCTATTTATTTTGTAGAAATTCGTATTGAATATAGGATAAAGAAAATAACTTTAGTCTGATTTCTACTAAGTGTATTATTTGTTACGACAGGTTTTGGTTTTTTGAACCATTCTCAAGTAAACCGATACATTTTGTCAAAACAAGTTCTTAAAATACAATGATATAGCCAGGTACCTGCATATCTTAATGAGGATCTAGAAGTAATTTCGAATTGTGGTGAAAGTAACCAGGTTCAATTAAATACCACAAAAACCCAGGCATGATAATGTCAGGTCAGTCAAATCCACTTTCTACTTCGATAAGTTTGTTGGGGGTTAAAATGGACATGAATATGTCTTGGCACCAACATGTCGCTGGAATTGCGAAGGCTGCTTCTCAAAAGCTTGGAACACTGTTCCGAACCAGAAATTTGTACACACCTCAGCAACTTTTGATGCTTCATAAAGCTCAGATCAGACCTTCTTTGGAGTATTGTTTTCATGTATGGAGCTCTGCCCCCCAAACATACCCTGAAGTTGCTGGATTTAATCCAGAAAAGAGCCTCTTGCAACCTCGATAGTCTGGAACATCGAAGCAAGGTTCGAGATTTGTCTCTCTTTTATAGATACTTTCACGGGAAGTGTTCCAGTGACTTGGCACTTTCGATTCCACTAATAGCTGTACATATCAGAAATACGCGACGGACTGTGGCTGCTTATTGTTTTGAGGTTCAGCTCAGTACACCTCGAACTTCGCTGTTCAGGAACTCTTTCATTTGGAGAAGTGCGTTTACGTGAAATAAACTTCCTGAGAACGTTTTTTCAAATGGATTTTATCTCCAGCGATTCAAATCCACTCTGAATCACTACTTTCGTACAGGCACCGCTCTTAGAGCGCCTCAAAGATTCTCCTGTAGTGCTTGTGTTTTGTCCTTGAAAAATTACCATTGAATTTTGTTATATTTTTCTGTCCATTACAACATATTATTTTGTAAATAATATTGTTGAATATTTACATGTAATTCTGCTCTTTTTGGGCATAGCGCCTTCTCCCAAAATTTGAATTTATCACCACCATATATAGTGTATTGGTGAACAAAATAAACGAAAGATTCAGTTTTTTAAAGCTCCAACTTATAGTTCTTGGGGTCTATTTTGTATGCAACTTCGTGAAAAAATATTTCCACAAGCATTTTCAAGCCAAGGTTGAACAAAGTTTTCAATTCTAGCAGAAACTATTTTCTCCCAAACAGTCTTTTATCCTTTCAAATGAATGTCGTATACGCCTATGGATTCAAGATAATATCGATTTTGGTTCTCTCTTGCTTTCAAATCTTACCTATTACCTCCTCTCTCATTTGACATATACTTGATTAAACGTAGTTCATTGGTTTAAGAGAGTGATCGGGTGATCGAAATTTGACCTTTTCAATTTCAAAGTGAAAGAAACGAACGTGTCAAATAGGTGTCACGTGTTTTATCGAGATACGGTTTTAAAAAGTAACTGAGGGATTGAATATGTTATGGGTATCAAGTTTCTACTACAAAAGTTATGAAGGGAAACAATATCATGCATGTTGTATCGTAGGATTTTCGGATGGTTTTGACAGATTATCTGTACTACTTTATTTGTTCAGCTCATAACATTATTTAATATTAGTGAAATACAACTCAGACACTCATATTTTTACATTTCGACAACACATTTACTCAACTAATTCATTCATTAAACTAGATTACTTTCGCTTACCTTAGGCGCTATACCTAGGTCGAAGCAGAGAGAATATGTTTGTATTCACTATTTCTCATAGATTATCTGAAATTACAATAGTGATGATCTCGTGTTTTCAAAAACATCATAGAATTCTTTATAATTACTTATAATATGCATTCATTCATTGACAAGAATTGAATAACATAGCTTAGTTTCGTCATGAATTGAAGAATTATATCATACTGATGAATTCAATGGACATTAGTTTTCAAACTAAGATGGCTGGTATTCATTTTGGGTGTAACACGTTTAATGATAGAACCTCCGGAATTTTTTTTGTCGAAAACGCATATTTCAACTCTTTCCTATTTTACTTTGACAATTATGACGATTCAGTTATTCAGTCAAATTCTACAGATAATACCCAGTTTTTGTGATATGATGTCGGAAAAACCGTGTTATGTTTCAATAATATTGCTTTAAGTTTTGAGAATGCTAATGCAGTTTCCACATCGGGTCGATAGTCAAACCCAGAATAGAACGGAGTTTCCTGTTCTACCTTGTATATTTCTTGAGAACAGCAACATTTTCAGGTAAAAATACTTAGCCCTCGCCTTCACGGTTTTCAAATGAATCTACAAGGGAATCATTGTTGGTTGCATATATCTAGAGTCCAACTTAAAATTTATTCGTAAACATCAACGTTACTTATTGATATCTATCGGGTTCCTCAAGTTTGAGTTTGGAGGAAATTTCCCCCTAATTTGAAAACAGTGCTTAATGAAAGTACGCACAGTGGTATAGGATTGCTAAAAAATGTTCAATTGCTTGTTGTCGAATGAAAACCCAGATAAAAATTTGATTGGTGTGTAATAACCTTTTACTAATCAATAATACTAAAACAGAATAAAAAATCTTCACGAGAGGTTAGCCCACGACTAGACACATAGGTGTGATCATGAATTTGTAACGTTGAACTTCAACATAACTGACCCCTTGAAGGTTCGAAGTACTTTAAATTCTTATTCAATTTCTATTGGGAATTAACACGAACCACTGTTAATAACCATGGTTTTGATAGTCACCAAACGAATTAGTCCTTCAGTTCATCAGTGCTGTGACGAAACTCTACGTCAGAACCATTTCAGCGGAGAAAGATTGTCCTCCCCTTTAGTAACACTAAATCATTAATACTCAAAGATTGCCCTCAAGCTTTCCATATAGAACGATGTTCCAAATGACAGACATTTTCACTTGTCCACTTGGACCCAGAATACTGCAACAACTGGAAGTCACTTCCTATATATAAAGACGTTGGCCAGCCTGATGGTTTTTCTTTAGCTTTCTGGGCGGCATTAGCTGGGTTAATTGTTGTTTTTCCGTCGGGTATCTGCCACACATATCTACAAAGTCGTAGGTCCACATGAGAGGCAAGGGGTAAGGTGTTTTCACCTTAACTTGAGTATGTCATATGCACCTCTGCAGAAGATATTAATTTATTATTCCGACTCCCACCCCGGAGTATGTGTTCATGGAGTTGTTTCCGTACTTTGTCTGCAGGTGGCGTAGTGGTACATGTGGTACGTAGTGGACGTGTATATGACAGAACACGCAGAAAGCGTGTTCGATAGAATCAGATCGCACAACAACCCAGCGCTACGCGATCTACACGATGCGTTGAATATGGATGACCCCAGGTTCCGAAAAAGGGACAAACATCCAAGGCCGACGAAACAGAACCTACGACCACCCCGACGAGTCGCCGTCAGGCGACTCCGGNTACTTAGCTAGTGGTCATCCTGACCAAATGAAAATAATTTCTTCTTGTCATAGTGGGAAATAACTTGCGTCGAATCTTCCAAATGGAAGACGTTGCCACAGTAGAATACTAAAGCTCTACTGTGGTTCTACTTCAGCTTTTTGTGGGGCATTAGCTGGGTTAGTTGTTGTTTTTACGTTGAGTATCTGCTACACATACCTACAAAATCGTAGATTAACATGAGAGGCAAGAGTGATATTCTGTTCATATTTGAAGAAAAAAAATGATAGGTTTTTCACATTCCCGAAAAGATATCTTCGAAATGCACTTGAAATAATATCATTTTGGATTGGTTACTAATGAATTTCCTATTGAAATATTTGTTAATTTTCAGTCTGTTATAATACAAAATAAAATTTTGTTTTTGATGATTATAATTCATCAGTAGAAATAGGGATTTCAGTTGGAATATGATTTGACATGAGATATCTATGATGTTTAATAAATATTTCAATCATGAAAAAAATTCATATTTGAAATCTTATTAGTGTGACGAAAACTATCATAAAACGAATATTTTGCAAATATAATGTTTACCAGGTATGCCTCTGGTAAACTGTTCCCATGATCCTTCATTTTTTGCCTAAGGAAGAACTTCTTGTCTCCAAATTCCCCGAAACAGGCTTTTTGAAATCTTCTCAAATAATTCACTGAGTATGTGAGTATCATTATTACTATTGTGGTAAGTTGTAATTATCGTTGTTTGTAGATTTCTCTGCAAAGAACGCGTCTATGTTTGGCGTACTTCATCATGTTTGTATTGTAAGTATTCTGTAACAGTTTCTGAATGATTCGTATAGATGTCGACAGCAATACGGCTGTTTTGAGAAAGTCCAAAGTTTATTGATTATCTATCTGTATACATATTTTACAAAGAGCGTAGGCGAAATACTCGTAGGAGGATCAGAAATAGGTAATATATTTATATAAATATCCTCACGGACGGTGCAGTAATCAACAAATAAAGTCTATCTGTAAGACAATATTGGTTTTCTTGTGAAATTGGAAAGTGGATTTTCTAGGTCTTGAGTTATATTGGAAATTGAATTGCAATGTTTGTATTTATGTCATTCCTGCCTTATGTTTTCATTCACTTATTCACTGTTGCCACTCAGATTTCCATCGTTGTCCTTATTGGGAGTGAACAATGGTCCGAGATGAACCGGGTCGTCTTGCATTCTTGTCATTAATTTATCATTCAGCCGTACATTTATTATATTTCCTTATAGAAAACATGTTACGAAATGAACACTCTACCCACTCAGAGCGAACACGCCCATTTGTATCTCACAATAGGCCGGCATTTCATAAGTTACCAGAAAATAATACTGAACGAACCGGCGTTTTTCCGCTGGTCATAGCAAATTGGATTCAGAGGTGAAAGTACGTATATTTGCAGAAAAAAATTGTATAATTCAAGGAAAATTAATATGGCAGCCGAGTTTTGACTCAGGGGCATCCTACGTTTCCTTATGCGATTATAGATTTGCAAAGTATGGAATGAATATTTTTCAGAACATGTGGAATTTACTTACCATGTGTAATGGATAAGAATAACATACAGTGCGGTCCATATGTATGGAATAAATTCATTTTTAGCAATGATATTTTTATGTCTCTGATACATAGACGATTATCCACTACAAAATAAAAATTTCACACAAATTATTACTTACGTTTGAACTGTGAGATTCCTGTACATTGAAAAATACATTCTAAATATTATGTGGCATTATTATCTTCATTCTACGTAAAGTTTCGAGATACCTAGAGACATTATCAAAATTTTACATCCTAAAAATCAATTTTCTCAGTTATGATTGCACCAAACTTAAAAAAATTTATATTGCTGAACAGAAGACTAAAATCCCTTTCCAACAAGGTGCCACACGACCCCCTTCGCTATTTAAAATTTTCGAGGGGGTGCTTATAATTCAGAATGGGTGCTGGAGGGGAAAAATAATTTCATACTATAAATTGTCAATTTAAGAATGAGAATTGACCTGTTTCAGGTTTTTTCACATAGTACATAATAACGCTATAAATGAATTTATTTCATACATATGGATCGCTCTGTATAATATGAAAAAATACGGCAGTTGGAGTATTATACAGACCTGGTTCTACATCAAAATTTGGCGAATTTTTCAATATTCTAGAGTTAACTTTATCAGAAATCGCGCGACAAGTGTTTCGCTAGCCAATAGCATCTTTGGGCTTAACAACTGACGCCAGTATTATGACGTCCGCAGACGCTAGATTCATTCTCTGCAAAACCTATTTCGTATATCGCAATAGTTTAAACTTGCTCAAATATAAACAACTGTGTGAATATGTTTGAAACAAAAAACTTGCTGATCTGTGAAAACATTTATACACAATCACAACAGACATAGTTAGATAAAAGTATATAATGACAAACAACATATATCGAGACAAAACAAGTACTGAACTACTAATACAAAGGGTTCGTGAAGATATATAGTTTTTTAAGACAAAACAGAAGCATTACAGAAAGTAGCGATTCACCTTGGATTTGAATCGCTGGAGATTAAATTCATTTGGAAAAACGTTTTCAGGAAGTTTATTCCACATAAACGCAGTTCTTCAAATGAAAGAGTTGTTAATAGTGAAGTTCGAAGTGTACTGAGTTGAACCTCAAAACGATCAGCAGCCACAGTCCGTCGCGTATTTCTAATATGTACCGCTCTTGGTGGAATCAAATGTGCCAAGTCACTTGAACACCTCCCGTGAAAGTATATATAGAAGAGAGACAAATCTTCAAAATTTTTCAAGACAAAGGTGTTGTTGTCAGCAAAGCGATATATTGGATTCCTGTTCTTTTCCGAAAAGTAGTTGATATACAATAAAAAGAACGTTGGAGACAATATGGATCCCTGGGGAACACCAGCGTTGATGGTTTCCGCAGCCGCTGGAATCCAAATGGAATGACGAGACAAGTGTGCTGTCGTCAGCAAAGCAATATATTGGATTCTTTTTTTTTACAATATAGATTCGAGAGACATCCATCGACGGCCACTTGCAGGGAACGTTCTTTCAGAGAGCCAGTGAAGCATGGAGTACCACAGGGTTCAATTTTAGGCCCATTACTGTTTATCATATACATAAACGACCTGTTCTTCTACCTTTTTCCAAAAATTATAATTATGTTTGCAGACGACGCTATTTTGGTTAACTTTGACAAGTATACTTTGAGCCTAAATACTGCTATGGAAGAGGCAGAAAGCAAAACCGAAACGTGGTACAATTCCAACAACCTCAAACTGAATA